GTATGAGACCGTCGACATATGGCCGTATGTCAAATCTCTTTATTTTAACATACATACATTTCTAACTTTAGCTATAATGTGATAAACACAAACTGATCGAGTCATGTGCTAAATGCCTTTGAAAGGTCTTGGGTAAAAACTGAAAATATACCGATAAATTGTCATCTCTGCTAAAGGAAGTGACGCCCCCCATGTCTCGGACTAGTCTCCTCTGATTGGCTCACAGGCCTCAGAGCTCTGCAGGTTGACTCTCTTTGTTTTTCTGTCGTTCTTCCATCAGTATCAGGAGCTGAGGATGAAATGACGTCATCATCGCCGTGGTGACAGCGGAACAGGGCCTGATCATGGGAGACAGGAGGAGGTCAATGAAGTTAACTTAACGTGAATGCACACCTAAAAGACAGGTGCTGGTCATGACAAATTGAATAAAAAAACTTTTTTTTTAAAATGACCGCACAATGAAAGCTTACTTGATATATACAGAAAGTGTAGCTGACATTTTGACCCCCCGTCTTCTTCGAGGAAAGTAAGATAAATTGTTTGTAGCCAGCAAAGATTAAAGCCTCACAACTCACAGATCAGTGACATCAACAATAAATTAACAGAGATGTTTCTAAATTAACATCCTGGCCAACCTTAGTGCAACCTCCATTGCACATTAAATCACACACAGAGACAATCAAAAACATCATTCCAAAGGTCAGACACCATCCACTATGTAAAAGAAAACACCAAAATATATCAAAAATAGGAAAAAAACAAACATCCCTCTTCAAAGACATGTCATCAAGACTATGCCTTTTAAGCCACATCTGTAAAAGTGTATATATATATTAATGTCTAAATAGCAAAAAGTACCTTTAAATTGATCATCAATATGGAATATTCTAAATGAATATAACATATCGATCCTAAGAGTATACATTTTAGAGCACATTCTTAAAATACAAATCTATTGGATACAGACCAGGCAAAATCATTCAAAAAACCAAATTCTGGATACAAGTATTATGGATCCATATCATATTCAGTTTAATGAAGTCATGTTTTTTGAATGGGTGATGTTTTTGATTGTCTCTATATGTGATTTAAATGTGCCATGGAGGTTGCTCTGAGGTTGACCACGAACTGTTAATTTAATGATGACATCACTGATCATAGCTTGCTCTCAGGTGTGAAATATGAGCACATTAATGTTTGATTGCCACAAGTAATTTATCTTACTTGCCTTAAAGAAGGCCAGTGGGTCGAAACGTCGGTTACACTTTCTAAATATATCACGTAAGCTTTCAGTGTCCAGTCATTTTTTTCATTTTTGAGACAGGAGGAGGTCATCATGTGGCGAAACCTGTCCAAGTATGCCCTCATCTTCCTCTTCCTAGCTCTGTCTGGACTCATCTTCCTGCTGCGCAACATCCACACTGTGGAGGTGAGGAGAGAAGCAATTTACACATGACTTTAATAGATGTTTTCTCAGTGACCATTCTATAGGTGTGAAGATGCCATGTAGAGCCAATCAGACAGAGAGAAACTGTATCAAAAAAGTGCAGGAGGACAGAAAACTTTTGTGATTTGATGCCCTTCTTTGTCTTATTGTAAACTCTGTATCTTTGGATTATTGGCTGGATAAAACAAGTAAAGTGATGACATGACCATTGCCTATAATAACATGTAATTGGCATTTTTCACTAGTTTTAATGGATCAATAGAGCAAATTTGTTGATGAATCAATTACTAATTAAAATAATCATTAGTGCAGCCCTAACAATTACACCAGGTAAATTATATTTGTACTTAAATAAACAAGATCGATCTCAAGATGTATTTGATATTTTGTTTCTTTGTATTTGGTTCCATTATTGTTGCAATACTCCCCAAAGCCTCTGTCAATGTATTAACATCTATATTACATCCAGTTACATTTATACTGTATTGTGCCCTTTTATGCATTTTTATATGCTACTCACAGGCTGATCTCCTCCATCTCTTAACTTTTGTTTTCTTAGTCAGTGAACTCTCCTCATTTTCTCTTCAGAACTGGAATCGCCACATGATTTTAGCCTCCTACCAGCTACACAGGAGGATCCTATCATCCTTCCTCCCAGAGAATCTCCCCACTTTTTATCACAACAGCACATACTGTGCTCATCTGGGCCAGAAACCCTCCCCTGAAGATGAACTGGAAGAGCGCTACCTGTTGGACTCTATCACCTGGCCCGGGCCTCCGGCTCCCTCTACACCAACAGTCCTGCGCCAAACAAGTGACCCTGTGCACAGCCTATTTGCCATTCTTCCCTCAAATGAAGGAAGGGAATGGCATGTGGGCGACCAGCTGGAGGCGCTTGTTCAAATGCACGACTTCCAGGGTCGTCCCAAGCACTACGGCGGCGATTTCCTTGTGGCCAGATTGCACTCTCCCGAGCTCAGAGCAGGTGTAGCAGGTAAAGTGCTGGACCACAAAAATGGATTTTATTCTGCTCTGTTCCCACTCCTCTGGGTGGGATCTGCATGGGTTGAGATTACGTTAGTGCACCCAAGCGAGGCCATTACTGTGCTGCGACGATTAAGGGAAGAACGACCCGATCGGGTGTTTTTCAAGAGCTTGTTCCGCTTGGGCTTCCTGTCTGAAACCACGGTGTGCAACATGTGCTTGCCTCCTGACCAGCAGCCTCTGTGCAACTACACAGACCTTTACACTGGGGAGCCCTGGTACTGCTACAAGCCTAAGATGCTCAGCTGTGACACCAGAATCAACCACGCCAAAGGAGGCTACCTAAAACACCTCATCACCAACAAAGAAGCACTGCTCTTCCAGAGGTTTGTCGTGTTACAGAAAGAGACATTTATACTGTAATTGGACACATTTGTTTTATCAAAGGATACATCTGGTCACATTTTCTCTCTTTCTTACTGTAAACAAATCACATGAAAGGACCCAAAACACACAGTAATCTCATCCTGCTAACAAATGTTTTCTGTGTAACCAAAGCCTGATATCCAGAAACTATTAAAACACATAAATAAGGCACATCATGAAAGTGCACGACATGTTCCTTCATTAAGTCAGTCTCACATAGATTGTTCTGCCATTGTAAATAATCAGTAGCACATCAAATGTGTATTAATTCATGGCTGAAACAAATATATGGTCGACTCCAATTTGAGTAGTTTTCTAAAAACCGCAGTACCCATCAGTTTTAATATAGAGAAAAAATGTTTGTGTGACCTGGTTTTGCTCATTAGTAGGAGCCAATGGCTATGTGGCTAAGGAAGTCTTATTGAGTCAGTTTAAAATGTTGGTTTTTTATAAATGATCATAAACTTTGTCCTTTAACAATGTACAGTTTTTTTTTTATCTTAGTGGTGTAAACATCAAAATTCAAATACATGCTTCAGGACCAGAGAGAATCAACGTTCTGCCTCAAAGGAAAGGTAAACCGGCAGAGTAGTGTTTGTGGCATTTCAGTTTCTGCATGCTTTCTTTTAGTCCACTAATTCATTCTGTCTGCAACATATCTTGCTTTGTGTCAGATAAAATAAACGAGGAAAGCAGCAGTATAAAACCAGACCCTGTATCGCCCTCTGGATATTACTACGAGGACATGTGGAGGCCGTTAAATGGCTTTACAATGCGCCAGTTCAGTGAATCATCTGCCATCATTCAGTGTTTGAAGAACAAGGTGGTTAACATGTACGGAGACTCCACCGTCCGGCAGTGGTTTGAGTACTTCATTGGTCTTGTACCAGGTGAGGGTAGTCTGTCATCTTTGATTTTTCCACTCTGCATGTTTCCCACTGTAACATTGGTTTATTTTCACTCTCCCCAGAATTGAAGAAGTTCAACTTACACAGTCCCAAAAATGTCGGGCCCTTCATGGCAGTGGACAGCACTCATAATATTCTCTTGAAGTACCGCTGCCACGGGCCACCCATCCGATTCTCCACCGTCATGTCCAATGAGTTGAGATACATTTCAAATGAGCTGGATGGCCTCTCTGGTGGCCCTAACACCGTTGTGGTCCTCAGCATCTGGGCCCACTTCAGCACATTTCCTGTGGAGGTATACATACGACGACTACGTCACATCCGGCGGGCGCTGGTACGACTTCTGGATCGAGCGCCAGGGACACATGTCGTGATCCGCTCAGCAAACCTCCAAGCCTTGGACCAGGAAGTGAGCCTGTACAACAGTGACTGGTACTCCCTGCAGCTGGATGAGGTGCTCAGGGCCATGTTCAAGGGAATGAATGTTCTGCTGGTGGACGCTTGGCAAATGAGTTTAGCACACCACCTTCCCCACGCCCTCCATCCACCTCCAGTCATAGTCAAGAACATGATAGACATGCTTCTGTCTTATGTTTGCCCAGAGAAGAAAAAGAGCCAACAGACATAGAAGAAGAGTGACAACAAAGGAGATGGAGGAGTTCACTTTGTGAATCCACCCATCTGTTAACTCCAAACACTCACTCCTTTGTTCAGCTTTTTTATGAACAAGTATTCTCCAAAGGTGCATACCCTTTAAGTACTGAGAGATCTGCCAGACTGCTAGCCCTGATCTTTTTGAATTTTGAACCCCACAAACCTTATTCCACTCCAGGACTGACAAACACTTTGCAGCAGTGATTGTTACAGTCCATTTGTATTTCTTGTTTTACCAAATTTTGTTTTTACCTTTTGCAAAACTAACCAACAAATATGTACATAAAATCATTTAATAATCATTTTCCTCAGTGTTAAAAACATGTTCCCACGCTCTTAGCCAAGGTACTAGATGCCCACTACGGCCTCTTGTCAATGTGCGTAATTTATCATTCTGTGTAAAATGACAATTGAAATACAGTGTTCCTTGTATGTATTGCAAACTGTGGACTACTATGTACGTTTACTACAGTGCAGTTGAATTCTAAATCTATCATTGCCTCATTAGATTTATATTTTAAAACATTGCTTTGAGGATCATAACTCATTACACCGAACAAAAGGTTATGATATAAACAGGATTTAAAGAATAGGACAGCTACAGTCAACTATTTCAGCAACCATGACTTAAATATTTGAGGAATATTTTGTCACCTATTATATCCTCAGACGTTCCTTTATAGACATGGCTGCTCCTCCACTTTGTTTCATTTGACTTATCAGATGACGCCTCTGACAGATCTGGTTTGGTGGTGTGTGTACATCTGACTCTTGACCTTTACACGTCAGAATTTTGAGGATTTTTTTCAGTGGCCCTAAGCCTGCAATAGGTTTCTGACTTTTTTGTCCCCTATATTCAGTTTCAGTTTCAGTTTTATGGGGACATCTGAGGGTTAATCTACCATGAACAAATACTGTATGTTGTCACATGTTCATCGCAGGACGGCTACTCGGTGAGAGTTATCAGGTCTGTGTGATACAAAGAGATAATGTGCCTATTTTGTATCATCTTCTATTTCTGACAGTTATCAGTGTTCAATGAGAATTTCTACAAGCAGATTTGCCGTCTTGCATTTGCTATTGTCAAATGTGTGTTTTTGACTGACATTGTAAAAAGAAACACTTCATGACAGTTTAGAGCCATTACCACATTATGTCAGAATTTAAAGTGCAGGATCCTACATGCAGTGTTTAAACACACCGAGAAAAAAAGGTCAGGTGAGAGTATTATAATAATAAAGCTATAAATATCAAAGCAAAACCCATATAAGTGCCTCACTTTTTCTGGTGGCTGAACTGCATGGATGTTTACCAGAATACTGCATCACATATTAAAAACAGATGGCCCTGGTATTATATTCTATTGGAACCATAACTGTACACTCTAGATGTAACTGTCAAATTGCTGAAAATTGACAAAATGCAATGAATCACATTTGAATGATTTTATTTAAAAAGTTTGTTCTCTTTGAAAACTTAAAGCATAGCTCAGTGCTAAAGCCTGCAGGGCATCATGTGGTCTCAGAGCAAAACTTAGGAAAACAGAGAAAGCTCTGTACAAAACGAAAAAGGAACACGCCACTATATAACAAAAAAAACATCCTGATGATGACAAACAGTTTCTCTGAGCACATATTCATAAAAACACTTGTCTCCCAGAGTAGTCCTGGAGTATTTTCAGTCCTGTGGGCACGTCAAAATGTGCACACATCGATAGGAGTGAGGAAGCGGCAGGAGACAGGGGCCTGTTCCAGAAAGTAGGTTTAGCAAATTGAGGCTTGCAGATTTATTTATAAAACAGCAACCGTGAAAGAGCGCAAGTTGCAAAACAGAGTCGCTAAGTAACATGGTTACATTTTATTAAGATGTAGTTCACTCGTTATGTAGCGACTTTACTTTCCTTCATGAACGATGAGGCTGGAATCCTACACTGTATGTTACATGTATTTATTCATCTGTACTATATATTCATGGGGACAAAGGGCCGATGGCACCAGAAGATGTAATCATACTGATTAAATTCAGGTTTGTTTCTAGACCAAGTCAAAACCAGTAATAATGATTTGCAGGTTTATGCCACTTGTTGGTTACAGCCGCTCAATTGTAGACCTCTATTTACATTTTCAAAACTTGCTCAGAAGCAATTTCTATAAACTTGTTAAACAGTGACCGATACACTGTTAAAATAAGATTACGCAGCCTACACAAAAACTAACTCTTAAACTACAGTATACAACAGGAGTGAGTACATCCATGTGCAATACCACTGAAATGTCAAATGACTCAAAACTATATCACCTCTCAATAACTGCATTATTTCTGATTTGATAAGTGGAGTCCCCAAGTAGAAACGCAGTACAACAGCAGTGAATACACCTGACAGACACGCAAGTTAGAAAACATGTGATCACTTAAACAAAACGTTTTCTCTGACTGCATGCACATGGTTACAAAATGACCTGTGAACACCAGAACTTTCTCAGTTTGGGACCTATGGGCTGTCTGTCTGCTGCCAGAGGAACTGAACTGAATCCAGTATGTGCTTTGATGTGGACTGTATGACTGAGGAAATCAAAGTTAGTTTTTTTTTTTAAGGCTCAGCACGAGTCTGAAAAAAAACTCGGGGTTCGTTGAGGAGACAACACCAGCGAACAGGTTTTAACATTACCACAGGAACAGGGTTAAAGTAATCTCTATTTGTGGATCTGAAAAATCAGCATTGGCCTAACCTTGGGGTTATTGAGTTTTTACTAAACCGGCTTTCTGGAAACACCCCCAGGTCACCGACAAATGCAGGTTTTAACTCGTAATATGGAGCTGTGCTGTCCTGAGGTCAAAGAGAAAGAGGCACTGAGAGTATCTGTTAGTTTTCTTTTTTTAAAGCTTCAAAATAAATCCTTGTCGTGTTACAGAGGGCATGACATGACAACTGATATCTGGTGTTGCTGGGCAGCTATAATTTTTTTTTCCCCCCTCAGTCAGGCCATCAAAAAAAAAAAAAAAAAAAGGAGTAGTGCTGCAAGATAAAAACAATTTGTACACAAAAAGGGTGACATAAATGATCCTGAACATGCACAGTATTATGCAATGTGTTGTTGGCTTATTATTGGACATCTACCTCAACGTAAGCACTTTGTGCTGCATGCTGAATTGTTAGATTCATTTGAGAACAGACCAGAAACATGTCAATATTTATAGAAACAATGCTTTTTAACAAACAAACAGCTAAAAACAACTAAAAGAGAATCAGTAGCAAAGTTTTTGGATATAGGCTTTGCAGAGCTTGTATGTGACGCACCAGCAGCATATGAAGTTTAGGCAGTCAGACAGTGAAGATCACACATCCTGGACCTTCATGGCCTCCTGTGGCCAGGTGTATGTGTCCAGAGTGAAGGAGTCGTAATCAGGACTGTAGATGTGAGACAGCACAAATGCCTCCTTGTCTTTAGGCTCAGGGTACAATGAAGCAATGTTGTGTTTGTATGCATAGTCGACAATCTGGCAGAAGGACATGAGAGAAAGTGATAAAAAAAAGACTGTACAGTGTATCAGCTATGAGGTATGTTTTGTTTTTATCTAATATATTCATTATATTTTAATACATTTCACTGATGTGGCGTAATTAGACAGCACTCTGCCAGCAGCTACCCCATAATGCCATTACACCTAAAAGCAATATTCCCATGATAGTTAGCCCACCATAACATGAGCTGTGTGTCTGACTGAGTGGAGCTTATACGCACAAGGTGCAGGTCAGACGGGAGGATAAAGCCTGTGCTCTGACTGCATTCACATAAAATCCTACCTGCTGGGTTGTGCGGAGGTGTGGCCATATTTATTTGCGCTTTGGAACATAACTGCGGTAAAACAATCAGATGTTTTATTTCTTGGATTCACTGCATTGTTTTGCTAGCACCATTCCCTCTTTTCATCCACATGCTAGATCACTGGAACACTGCTCGCTCTCTCAGAGCAGATTTGGAACACAGGGAGTGAAATCTGGGCTCATTAGGTATGACCTGGATCCCTTCATTCCTACCAATGAGCCACTGAATAGAACATAACTAGAAGATTATCAGGCCTGTGTTGCAGTTGTATTGAGTGTCCAGTGTTGGCCACCATACTGGAAGGGTTTGCCTGAAAACTACAGTGTGAATCAGCCCAATCTCACAATGATGAAAATCCTTAAAACGTTCCTGCAGCCAAGTGATGTTACAGATCAGCACCAAAATCTAATGGATTGTTCCGTGGGCATACCCTGCCTCTCGAAAAGATTTAATCAAAATCAATTCATTACTTTTTGAGTTATGCTGTAAAAACCAACAAAGAAACAAATGCTAGTAAAAAAAGAACACGACCTCCTGAGGTAATTAATGTGCTGTGTTTCCTGTCTATGCTGTGCTCACAAAGGCAAATTCCTCATGTTTGCTGTAAAGGCAATGAAGTTAATTCAACTCAGATACACACAATAATTTAACAATATTTGAATACAAATGATTACAAAATGATACAATTTATTTTAATAATATAGATTTTAGTGTAAAATGCAATTTAAAAAGTCTCACCAATGGTCTAATAAGTAGACCTTAAAATATATTAAAAGATCAAAATGCTTTTTAAAGTATCAGAACAAAAACATATTCACCTTAAGGTAAGTTGCAAATATCAAAATGTGACTGGACTAAAACTTTCCAAACATTGTAACCAGCCACAAAATCCCAATGTCAACATCTCTGGTGAAGCTTGGGGTATTTCTAGCTTA